CATATTATATTCGTTACATATAATAGTTTTTCAGAAATTCTTATAATGATTGCCCCTGTTCACTATGCAACTAGTAATATTTTTAGTTTTTCTGAACTTCTAAAATTGGAAGTGGTGCATTCGCCAAAATTTAGACTGAAAGCGCTCTCATCAAAATTTTAACTGACGAGATGCATCGACGAAATGTTAAGTAGTTTCCAAGGGTAATGTTCATGTAAAATGTATATACCTAACAAATCCGCAAAGTATGGCCTCAAATTAGGCTATGATTGATGAATGCTCGAAATCCTTATTACTACAATGATACAATCTCAATCAATCATCGGTTGATACTCAATCTTATTCTTGATGAAATCTATCTATCTGTGCTGGTTTCAGATCAGTTAATTTAATACGCCATTTGTTTGTTCACTCCTCCACTTCGGCGATTGTATTCTGTAATTTATCTGTTGATTCAATTACATTTTCACCAAGAGCCACAATTGCCGTATCATCAGCAAACATAGCTATAACATATTACTTTGAAACTTTCAGGTCTTTATTGTAAGGATATATAGGTCGGATCCCAGTAGACTTCCCTGCACTAATTCTCCTTAGTTTAGAATAATCATCTTCCTGCTTAATCCTGAAGTATCTCTGTGACAAATATGGCATTAAGATCTTGGAGTATTGGACAGGAAGGGCCATTTTTTATCTTATGCTCCAATGTTTCGTGCCAGATCTTGTGGAAGGCCTGTGTTATATCCAACAATAATGCTGAGAATTTTTTTTTCTTCAAGTGATCTTTCGATCACGTCCGTGACTTGATCAATTGTAGAGTGCTGATTTCGTAATTTAGATTTGTGATCAGGGATGAGTAGATTTTCTTCGATGATAGGTTTCAGCCTTTTGAGCAAAAGTTTTTGTAACAGTTTTGATATAATCGATAGCAAGGATATTGTCCGACACGATGTAATCTCATGTGGCGGTTTGCTTGGTTTTGGGATAATGATGATCTCAGCTGCCTTCCATAGTTGTGGAACATAATTTGAATGCAACGATGCGTTATTTATACTGGTAAGTTTAACCAGTGCCTTTCTAGGCAGCTCCTTAAGGACTTGTCCAATTATCAGGTAGGAGCCGGGTGCCTTTTTGGAATTAACGTTTGTGTCAATTTTATTTTTACCCAAATTTATTTTGCAAATACTAATGCGTTTTGTTCGTTGCTATTTGCTCAACTTCCCAGTTTTTTTCTTGTAGGAGGCGTTTGCATAATTGGTGTCTTTAAATTCCTGGTGGTTTTCCATAGCGGGTATTCATTAGTAGAATAATTTGTCAAATGTTGGAGAAATTCGCTAATGAATTCATTCTTAACTTGCCTAATCGCTCTCTTCAGTTGTGAGGCAAGTTAATTTACTTTTTGTTTTGTCTTGTGGTGCTGTGCTTAGTTATTTTTTTCTTGATCTTATTTTTGGTATTGAATTTTTTCCACCTAAGCGTCCAAGTCTTCTTGAGTTTTCAATAACACTGTCAAATCAAGTCTTTCTTCTAGTGTAATTCTAAAGCTATGTTAGCCCAGTTTATTCTTGACCAGCACAGGGTTGTATGGCTTTTGGATGAGATTTTCACTAATAGTTAATATAATATATGGAATGGGAGTATATATGGAGTTCTTTTCTACTTGTATATATGTAGTTGCTCGATGCCCATGCATTTTAGAGCAACACAAGACCGAGAGGAGTATGCCAGAACCGTCGCCAACATCCACTAATTGGATAGGGCACCATAAGAAGTTGCTTGATACGTTCTTAATGATGCAAAAGAATATTAAATCATGAATTTTCTAGGGTATGTGGGCTAATACGTAGGCTTTCTGTTGATATTTCTTCTTGGTGTACCTATCCGTTACGAATGTTGGCGATCATCATGTCAATCTTTCTCTTTATCACAGATGTTGTATTGAACGAGATTCTGAGGTTCTTTAACCAACATCTTGAGATTGGTTCTAGCTTATTCTCTTTTATTGTTTTGAGCAAATATTTACCTTTTGTTGTTACGGGTCTTGAACCCCATTGTGTGTGTTTAGCGTTAAAATCTTCTCCCATGATGAACCGATCATCCTGAATTCAAAAAGTGTAGTGTATGTTTCAGCTTTAATATTGTGTTTTGGGGGACTATATAGGCCAATAACTGCCAAGTCATAGTTTTTGGTCCCAAAGTTTAACACCGTTGTCTGATTTTCAGCTTCTAATTTTACTTCTTTGTTATGTTGAAGATTTCTCTGATTACAGCCGCACTACCCTTACTTCCATTATTTTTAGGATGTATGGTGTGGTAAACTTTGTATTATTTAAATCTAATGCTGGTCTATTATACTCATTTGAGTATAATAGACCAGCATTGTTGTGTCTGATTGACCTAAAGAAAGCGTTTGACAGAGTAAGACTCAAAGATGCAATCCATCTTCTGTATAATAGAGAAGTTCCCCTAAATATTATAAAAACTATCGAAAACATCTACCAAAACAACAAAATGGAAGTCAGAATAAATGGACAACTTACAGCGGAATAAGACAAGGGGATTCATTGAGTCCCATGCTCTTCAATTTGATCATGGATGAAATCATCAAAAGCGTTAACAAAGGAAGAGCATACAGAATGGGAAACAAAGAAATAAAAATACTATGTTACGCAGACGACGCAATATTGATAGCCCAAGACGAAGTAGTGACCAATTAATGGAAATAAAATGCCTGGGAATTACACTGTCTAGCTATGGAGACCTGGACAAAGAAGTGAGAGATCAAGTACAAAAAGCAAATAGACTGGCAGGATGCCTTAATAACACTATATGGCAAAACACCTTCATTTTAACTCTGAGATGAAGTGAAGAATTTATAAAGCCAGTGTAAGACCAATAATATGCCTCAGAAACAATACCGGACACAGCCACAACGCAAAGACTACTGGAAATTGCAGAGATTAGAGTACTCAGAAGAATTACAGGAAATACGCCGAGAGATCGAAAGAGAAGTAAAGACATTGGAAGAAAATGTAACGTACAGTTTATAAATGAGTGGAAAGACAATGAAAAAAAAAAGTATGGAATAACCACATAAGCAGAATGGAGGATACCCGTGTCCTCAGAATAGCAAGAGATGTCACCAATCGGCAGAAGAAATATCGGACGAATGCGCAAAACATGGAGAGACAACCTTCCATAGAGGTATTAATCCAACGCCAATGAACAAACAGAATTGCTTATAAAGAGGAAATCTAATGAATGATTGTTAAGTATGGTGTGTTTCAGATAATAAACACGTCAATTTTGTTCATATTCATGGTTAGTTGCAATTTTTGTTGGCTTTGCATTAATCCGTTGATATTCCAACTCATGATTTTAAGACTGCTCTGGCCATTTATATTTCCTTTTTTGGATGGCTCCTTTATTGTCATATTCTACAGCAGTCAATATTTTCTCAATTCTTTTAAATAACTTTTCCTGGTCAGTCAGTTTTTCCATAATCACTTAAAGGCTGGTTTCTACAGTTGTCTTGTTTATTTAGAATCGGTGTCCCTTCTAGTCTTAGTACTTCTGGCAGTCTGTGCATGTCTCTTATTAGCGCTTACTACTGAGAACTTTGTATTTTGATTTCTCTCTGAGTTTTTATTAGTATTCGTTCTAGTTTGTTCCCTTTAATTTCTCTCGGAGTTATTCTTTGCTCTAGCTTCTTCCCGCTAGACATATTGGGTACTACTTTGATTTTTTTGAGCGATTTATTTTAAATTTTTATAGTTCTTTCGCCACGTTGCATCCTTGATAGTTAGCAGGGTGAGGCTCTCTGTAGTAAACGCATTTAGGCTTCTGGCTTGCGGCTTTTGTACATTCGCTTCTGTAGTGTTTACCGGCATATTTGACACACCTAGCCGCTTTAGCCAATAGTACCTTGTATGTCCGTAACCTTAGCAATTTTTGCACTGAAGAATCAATTTTGGGTTGTTGATTGCATCAATGGTAACTTTAATTCCTAAGATATTGGTAATCTCAAATATTCTGTCCACGCTTTCTTTATTTTCAAATTCCAGCATAAACATGTTTTAGTGGTTCCTTAGTTCTCCACTTTAGCTTGCTTTCAGCTCGAGTTATTTTGAAGGCTCTTTGGCGCAGGTCGTCAACTATCTTCTCTGTGCTATATGCAGAATGTCAATTTTTGCCATCAATTGGTCTTTTTTTCTTGTTCTCAAATGAGTGATACCGAAAATTGATTTCATTCGATATAGATATCAATTTTCTATAACACACACACTCTCTGTTACATTAATTTTAATACTATTATTATTTAAGATTTTAAATTGATAGCCAACCATCGCCATACTTATCTTTTCATGAAGTTTATTGAAATTTTTCACTCCATCTACTATAACAGGTGGTGGTTGTTTTTCTATTGGCTTGTTAGCCACTTTATTTTGTTGTGGAGTGGATAACTAGGTATCCATTTTCCTCTTTTTTCTATTTCTTTCCTTAACTCTAATCCACTCGGTTTCTTTCGCCAATTCTTCCTCATTCGAGTGGTATTCTATTTTACCCTCTTCTCTTGGCTTATTTGGTATTTGTTCCAATTGAGCGTGTTTAAAGATCTAGTTCTTAATCTCCTCACACATTAAATTAAGCTCACACTGTAGCTTTTTATATTCTTCTGCCAGGTTATCATTTTCACTTTTCGTTTGTCTCCACGCTGCGAGTAATTGCTGTTCGTTATTATTTGATCTTGCATGGTTTTCCTGGAATAATTCATTGTTCCTTTGCATTAATGCTGCTTCCGTAGGTGTACTCGGAGCTGTTAGTAGTGAAAATGTTATTTCAGTAGTTCAAACGGCGAGTTTAATTTAAGTTTTCTCAAATAAGAAAAACAAAGGAATGTACTAACGGTCATGTATACTCTTTTAATAGTATCACAGTGTAAACATCTGTATAAATATTACTATATACATAACCAGAAAAATAAAGTTGAAACAACTATTGTATAAAAATAATTATAATAAAAATATAATATTATACACAATGACATACATTTTATTAAAAATAATCAACAAAAACACTATGCGCTCCACTACGTCCGTCATATTGCTTTTTGGCATATATTCATTGGGATGTTCCAAAGTCAAATGTAAATTATATAAAGTTGTGCTGGTTTACAAACCTCCTCTACGACCTTTCTCCCCCAGGACATACTTATAATATGCGGCGTTCATTTGTTCCAGGAAAATAAATGTAAGAACGGTGTGTGGACCAAGTCGTAGATAATATGGAAGGAAGCCCTTCCAGAGAGCAAATAATCCTTCGTTTCTTACTACTCTTCCAAGTACGTCCACCAGTCCAGTGTACTCTGGAACTCCATTAACGGTTTTCATGTTTTGTAACCTAAAATAAAATTTACTCTTAGGAGGGATTGTATTAAATAAAATTATTATAAAAATCGAATTGCTTACAAATGGGCAAGTAGCAGATTGACACGATAGTTTGTGTGGGCTAAATATGGGCACCTCAGTTCTCATGTATTAACTGCAAAACACTTTAAGGAAAACATATACCTATATGTGTTTTTGCATAACATATACATTAAATGTGTCATTGGTTAATGAATGATGTTCATTTTTTTCCAGGTTTTTACCAAGGAAAAAAAAGTATAAAGTTTGCAGTAGCAAGAGTATGGAGGGCCAGCTGTTGACATCAATGAATGCTACTCTTGTATAGTTAATTCACGTAAGTGTCGCGCTGGCAACAATGCCAAAAATAATTAGTACCCAATCTACCATCAACGTCTGCTCCACTACCCCACAGTGAACATTTCCCAGTGCTTTCTAGTCCGAAGCTGAACGCACAACAGCAGCACCTGCTATTACAAATATCTATCTAGTAATAGCGAAGGCAGCGATTTTGTGATTGCATCACCGTCTGTTGAACCGCATCTCAATAATTCAGAAGAGTTTAATGACTTAATAAAGAGTCTAGTGAAATTTAGACCTACCTAAACTTAAAGCAGAAATAGGCTTCGCAGCTAAAACAGTGGAATTTGCTCAAGAACGACGTTAAAATAAGTAACCAAAGAAAGCGACATGAAATATTTCCTGGATGTTTTACGAAGGAAGATGGACTTTGTTCTTATAATGATGTGAAAGGTTTGTTTGTGATGGAAATAAATTTTCATCTCTTCCTCTGGCTCATTCTGTAATGCTCAAAAAAATCACGCGAGAGTTAAAATGGCGCTTCAAGTTTAAAAATATGAAGAGTAGCCTGGCCAATGAGGGGGGATTCCAAAATGGTTTTGGAACATACAACTCATTTCAATTCTGTAGAGGTGAATTATATTAGTTTTTATATTATCTTTTGCTTATTTAAGCTGGATCTTCTACTCAAAATTCATTTATATATTAAATCTTTTCCTGAATTGAGTACTTACATTTCTAGTTAATACATTTTTTATATCTGTCTTTTTATAATTTCATTTTTTAAACATACGTACTCCTCCGCACGTTTCTTTTAACATTATAATTCGTCTTGTATGCAGTTAGTTATAATTTAACTAATTCATCGAATAATTAATATAGTCATTTTGTTCTTGTCAATATGCTATTTAAAATTATAGTTATTTTCAATCTCCATATAATAAAGAAATATTTTAAACATATGCAGTTACTAACACAAGGTTGATTAGACTAGTTTTTTGACATAATTGTTGTCAACCTTTTTGGGTGAAAAATTCCCGAACCACATGGTCGACTATTGGAAGCAGAATAGTGCAGTAGGTGGCCGCTGCTATGGAAACTCAATATATCCAAGTTTTTTTTTGTATTCTTTTTTGTATTTTTAGGTTTTATCTATGCCATCTTTTATAATAATTAAAGTTAATAAAAATATATAATTCAAATTTTTTTTGGTTTCAATTCAATACAAATTTCGTTCTAGTAAGCACAAAAAGAAACCTTCTGAGATAAAAAATATTTTTTCTTTCTTTAGTTAGGCATAAGTAATCAAAATCAGGTACAGAACTCAGACTCAAAATTCATGTTGAACAGCGTTATATTCGGATAAGCATACACGGGTATAAAAGAATCGAATATACCCTTACCTAGTTTTGCCTATGTCCAAAGGCATAGAAACTATAGTGGTGACAAGACCAGATATCATGGAAGACACGAAATGTAATGGTATTCCATCTCTCATAGCTATATACTCTACTATAAGTTGTTTAGCTTGGGAATACGTCGACAATTGAGCAGCATTTACAGCAACAGCACGACCCATGGTAGGTATAGCTCCTCTCCATAAGGTAACGAGACCTTCCTCTCTGTATATCCTTACCAATGCATCGCCTACGTTTTTGTAGTTTCTTCTTTCTTCTACTGGAAGACGTCCATCTGCTGTCATACGAATAAGAGATACTTCTGCTGGTGTACCTAAAAATAAAAAATCATAAATAACGAACTTTATTTTCTAGCAGTAGATGTATGTAAATTAAAACAAATAAACTATACCAATGTATCATAGGTAATGTTGTAATGATCCCTTCGCATTTAGTGATTAAAGAAAAATAAATGCCAAAACCTAAAGGAGCCAAATTAGGAGACTGAACTGGCCAACGAAATGGTCGCTGATTGGTAATCCATCTATCATCAAATATGTCGAAAAGATGCTGATCAACAGACCCAAAATTATGAGATGTTCCATCTAGGTGATACCAAGCTGAAGCCGCCTCTCTAGTTCTTAAAGTATGTAATGACGTCCGTATGGCTGCTTCTAAAAGGTGACAATATCTTTCACCATATAAATTTTCATCATACAGTTTAAATGCTAAAATTAAATTGTCTTTTATTGCACAAAAAACAATAAAACTCCAAACATCTTGGAAATAATATAACTTTTTTTTATTAAGTTTTCGTAAAAACCATTCACAGAATTGTACCCTTCGCGGAAGATGACACAATTGTAAGTGTTGCAACAAATGATATGAAAATGGTTTCCATTTGTTTTTTTTAATGCGATGAATTGTTCTCGTCGACAAGTAAGATTTCCCTCAAAATTTCTAATGGATCCAAAACACGAATTTCGTTTACGCCATTGTCCACTAGAGGTTTGTTTTTATTAATTTTTATCTTAAATTGACCAAACTGACGGCAGTTTTTAAGCAATTTTTTTACAATATCATCAGTTGCATTTGGTCGATTTGAATATCTTTCTGCAAAACACGGCAAGTCTTTTCGACAATTCTATTACACTTGCAGTAAATAATAAGTAAGTATTTAAAAAATCATCATTAGTAAATCTGACATTTGCCATTATTTATTATGAAATACAAACTGATAAGAAAACTGTCAAAACAATACATTTAAACAATTAACGTTCTAACTATCAAATCGTTGACAGCCATGGCCTACCCTTTAATAATATTAAAATAATTAAGTGTTATATTTTATCTTAGATAATGAAATGTCTCAAAAATGGTTGGATTTAGGTATAGGAAATACCGATACCAAACGAATTTGCTTAAAAAATACAGCGGAAAATGTAATAAAATACAGGGTGTTTAAAATAACGATAACAGGATGTTTAAAAGTAAGTAACTTGTAAACGATTTAAATTGTGCCTGTTGGCGACTATTGGCCACGTCACTAGCCTCGTTATTAATGGAGATATCGATATTCTTATAATTAAAGGACATTCTGCACAATTTTTTTCTAAAATTTTATGTAGAATTCGAAAATAAAATAAAAAATATTAGGTTTTATTTAAAATAACAAAGTTGACATCTACTTCCAGTACAATCGCAAGTGCCAAATTTAAGACATTATATTTGAACTCAGCGTCATCCAAAACCTACAGCTTCGTGATTTCAGATTTTTAACGTTGTATCCACCATTACTTTTAATCAAAACTTGTCGCGTCAAACCCTGTATACACTGTATATTTATTAGAGCTCGTATGATTTATGGTTTATAAAATATGTTGCGGGAGAGACTTTAACGCGTCCTTTATATTGAGCCTTACGTATTATTATCAATTCAACGTAAGGGGCTAATTTATGAAGCAATCAATGAGTACCTTAGACAATATATATATATATATATATATATATATATATATATATATATATATATATATATATATATATATATATATATATATATATATATATATATATATATATATATATATATATAGTTCAGCTCAACAGGCCTCAAAGGCCCAAGGCTTCAACGGTTTTCTTCCATTTCTTTCTATCTTGTGCTAAGTTTTTCCAATCTTGTACCCGCAGCGACTTCAGATCTTCTTTTGCCGACTCCAGCCATTTTCTTCGGGGGCGGCCTCTTTTTCTTTTTGTACCAGCCTCCGTGTTTATTAATTCATTGGGAACTCTTCCTTCCTTCATTCTTGCTATATGCCCGAGCCATCTTAATCTTTGAATTTTCGCGAGTCTTGTTATTTTTGGTTGTCCATATATTTGCATTATTTCTTCATTCGTTCTTCTTCGCCAGATGTTCCCCTCTTTTACACCTCCGTATATCCTTCTAAGAATTTTTCGTTCCCATCTATCTAATTTTACTTCCATATCTTTATTTAGTGTCCAGGTCTCGCTAGCATAGAGTACTGTAGGTCGGATAACTGTTGTATATATTCGTTTTTTTGCTGTTCTGGATATTATCTTCGACCTCAGTATCTTAGTCAGGCTCCCAGCACTCTTACTACCTTTGGCCATTCTTTTTATGATTTCTTGGTTCTCTTCGTTCCTATTTGTTAGTGTCACTCCCAAGTAGTCGAATTGGCTAACAACTTCAAAGTTATATTCTTTACTTGGGCTTTGTACCTTAAAGGACTCTCCTAGATGATTTTCGTTTCCCCTCATCACCATATATTTTGTTTTTTCTTCGTTTATTTCTAAACCATATTCTCTGGCTATTCTCTCTATTCTAATAAAGATTTCTCTTAATTCTGCAGGTCTCCTTGTTATTAAGGTAACATCATCTGCATATGCTACACATTGATGTCTGTGATGATATATTGTGCCTCTAGTGTAGATGTTACATTCTCGTAAAATCTTCTCTAAGATCAAATTGAAAAAATCTGTTGATAACGGATCACCGTGTCGCAGACCTCTATTGGTGATAAAACTATCCGAAACCCGTCCTTCTAACATGACTTTACTTTTAGTATCATTGAGTATGCATTTAGTCAGTCTTACTATTTTTGGTGGAAATTCAAAATATTCTAGTGCTTCATATACTTTATTTCTTTTTATAGTATCATATGCCATTCTAAAATCAATAAACAGCATGTGTACTGTTAGGTTGAATTCATATGAGCTAGCTAAAATTTGTTTCATTGTAAAAATTTGGTCAGTTACCGATCTGTTTGCTCTGAAACCTGCTTGATATTCACCTAGACAATTTTCAACTTTTGTTTTAATTTTATTTCTAAATGATATGGGCAAAATCTTATACACTGTATCTTGTAGAGCTATTCCCCTGTAATTTTTACATTCTGTAACGTCTCCTTTTTTATGCACTGGACATAAGACTGCTTCTTTCCACTGATTGGGTATTTTTTCTTTGATCCACACTTCGCGTATTAACTCAGCGATTTCTTCTTGTACCATTTCGCCACCTTCTTTTAAAAACTCAGCAATGATACCATTTTCACCAGGTGCTTTGTTGTTTTTTAAGTTTTTTATGATCTCTATAATTTCTTCCTTGGTAGGTACTTCTTCATTTACATCTGTGTCCCTTACTTCTTCATGTTGTAGTTGCTTTTGTTCTCTTTCATCTTGGTCGTCCGTACATAATATGTTCTCTAAATAACTGGCCCACCTTCTTAATTTTTCATCTGTTCCACCTAACAGATTCCCCTCTTCATCTTTATAATATCTTGATGTGGTTTTGTACTGGGTTACTCAGCGTCATCCAAAACCTACAGCTTCGTGATTTCTGATTTTTAACGTTGTATCCACCATTACTTTTAATCAAAACTTGTCGCGCCAAACCCTGTATACACTGTATTTATTAGAGCTCGTATGATTTATGGTTTATAAAATATGTTGCGGGAGAGACTTTAACGCGTCCTTTATATTGAGCCTTACGTATTATTATCAATTCAATGTAAGGGGCTAATTTATGAAGCAATCAATGAGTACTGTAGACAATAAATAACCGAAATTATAATAGGAATCTAATTGTACTAATTTAAAAAGTATGATTCAAAATCAGTATATTATAATCATAAAGTTAAACCGCAATTACCACATGATATGTAAAACATTTAAATTACATAACAATGTTTTATTATAATCACATTCGTTCAACATATTTGTGATAACAAAATAACACTGCTATCAAAAAGTCAACTGTACTATCTATTGTGCTAAATGGATGACTCCAACACTAATGGCCCTAAATGGATTTATCATTTATTATGTCTTGTTTCATTCGTTATCGATATGTAAAACTCAGATTAAAGACGGTGTGGATACATTTATAGATTTTTATGTAATCCAAGTAATTAATAACACGATTTAGGATAAGGTTTTGTTTCACAAAAATTTCAATTTGAGCAAGCTAATCGTCTTTCGTTCAACTTTCGCCGTTTAATCAACTTACACTTAACGATTTACGTAACTTTTTAGAGAGGGTTTCATAAAATTTGTCCAAGGGTTAATTAATTTCGCTGCAGACTTCAGTAAACATAATATGAAAAATATAAGTTACAATAACTTTTTAAAAACACTTACTTTTTTCAAAAATTTATGGACAGAAGAATACACACATAGACCAATCAAGTTAGTAAAAAAGAATAATTTTTTCGTCACAACAGTATAAAAGGGTTTGACATTTGAAATGTGTAGTATGAGATATTACAAAATACTCTCATCTAGGGATTCAGTGGAACAATTTTTTAGTGGAACTATTTTTAAATAAACAATCAAAAGGTCAAACACATTATTTTGCTCATAACTTAAAACTTGTCTATTTAGAGATTTGACGGGCGACTTTTTTGGAAAAAAGATATACAAAATGAGATATGCTAGTAACATAGTAACATATTGGTTACTAAAACCAACCTTCAATCCAAGAAATGGTTTAAAAAATATTTGGAAAAAATAATTGTATGGTTTCGTTAAAACATCATCATCATAAGTGGTTTGACAATCCGTTGTGGATCTTGGCCTGCTCACAAAGAAGTCGCCACTAATGTCGATTCCTGGCAACTTCCCTCCATCTTCTAACCCTTAGAATCTGTAGGTCTTCGTCAACATCCTCTATCCATCTCATTCGTGGTGCTTCTTGTGTCCTCTGGTTTTGAAAATGTTAAACTCTTCGTGTATTCGTGATCTGACATCCTAGCAATGTGTCCAGCCCATCTAAGTCTCTGCACTTTAACTCTGTTAACTTAATGTCTGAATCGGTGTATAACTAATATAGTTCAAAGTTGTATCTTCGACGCCATAGCCCATTTTCATTTACGGCCCCAAAAATGTTTCTAAGAATTTTTCTCTCAAAAATACCACGAAGTCTTTCATCATTTTGAGATAAGGTCCACGTTTCAGCCCTATGTATCAAAACCGGTCTTATTAAGGTCTTGTATATATTAAGCTTTAATGCACATTTTATATTTTTATATTTTAAATGTTTCTGGAGACCGTGAACAGTTCTGTTTGCTATTGCTATGCGTCTTTTTATTTCGTGGCTTGTCGTGTTTGTTGCGTTTACTAGCGATCCAAGATATGTAAATTCTTTGACTTGCTCAAAGGTATGCTTGTTAATTTGAATACTCTGTTTTTCCTCGTTTACCACAAGTCCTAATTCACTTGCTGCATCCGCAAGCTTTGTAAAACACTGCACCATGTCTGTCATACTTCTGCCCACTATAACTATATCGTCAGCGAATGCGAGAATTTGCGTCGATCTATTAAAAAATAGTTCCATTCATTCTAATACTTAATTATCTGATTGCTTTTTCCAAGGCAATATTAAAGAGAAGACACGCCAACGCGTCCCCCTGTCTTAGACCTAGATTGTCAAGGAATGTAGAGTTTTCTCCTTCAATTCTAACGCATGGGCTTATGTTTTGCATTGTTAGTTGGGTCAACTTAATTAACTTATCTGGGATCCCAAAGTCTATCATTGCATTATATAATGCAGTTCTTTTCACACTCTTATAGGCTGCTTTGAAGTCAATGAAGAGATGATGTGTATCTATGTTATATTCTAATGACTTTTCTAGAATCTGCCTATGTGCTTGAATTTGATGTGTAGTTGACTTTCCAGCAGTAAATCCGCATTGATATTGACCAACAATATCCTTTGTAAAATGTTTAAGTCTTTCAAATAATACATTGCCGAAAATTTTATATGCAGATGCTAACAGAGTAATGCTTCTATACTTCTTACACTCCAGTTGATCACCCTTTTTATGCAACGGACATATTATTCCCTTCAGCCACTCTTCTGGTACCCATTCATTCTGCCATATAAGTACTATTAGTTTATGGATTGCTGCAAAAAGTTGATCACCACCGTTTTTATACATTTCCGAACAGATTTCATCGATTCCTGGGGCTTTATTGTCTTTGAGTTTTAGGATCGCATTTGACACTTCTTCTCTTGTTGGGTTTTCACTGTGTAGTTAACGTTGTAGATTTTGTTGATTATCTATGTTGTAACCTCCGTTAATATCGTTTATTTCGTTAAAACAATCGAACTAAATTCCACAAAAACAAGCATAGGTCTATGTCCCTTTGAGCACGTAAAAAATTTATGAAAATATGAATGTTGCACAGCGGTTGATTTAGTAAATTTGTTCACGATTAATAGAAGGACTATGGGCCGATTGTTCGAACGCTAATCAAAAACTTGATTGTTATCAAATATTTAATTAAAATCAAATACGTCACATTTTGAGGTTATGTTGACTGATTTATTTTATTCAATTTTATTATTTTGCGTTTTAATTTAAAATAAACCATAATTATTCTCTTTCTAATGTTAATTTCATGTTTTTATTTACAAATCAATAATAATAAACAATGTTTAATAATTTTGACAGCTGCTGTGACGTATTTGATTGTAATTAAATATTTGATTACAATCAAGTTTTGATTAGCATTCGAACAATTGGCCCTATGCCTTGTAACGTATTAAGCCCCTTTCCAGGCTAGATTTGGATACATTTTCACCACTAATCCGTTTTTTTTTTCATTTTCTGAACTTTTTTTATTTTAATCTTACGTTTCTCGATATTTTTTTTATCATTTTATATTTGGTACAACGATTTCCGAACTTTATAATTGCCTTTTCTTAATTTTTTGCATATCCATTATTAGACCAATCAAGTTAGTAAAAAATAAACCCTTTTTCGTCACGACTTTGACATGGTTAGATTTTTTGAAGAGCGCGACTGGCACTTCCGTCGTTTACCCTCACTCATTTTACTCTATTTGCTTTAGTAGAACTTAAAACTTTGACTTTTCTTATAAAAAATTGGTTAATTTCAGCTCTTAATGTTATTAATTAAGGGCTATCTGGGTTTGTAAGGGTCCTAGAATATGTTTGTTTTTGTTTTAAAAGTTATTTTGTAACCAACTTTCCAAATATTTTTTCGGCGACTACGAACTGCCCCACGCTACCTAGATTTTAATGGGTTAAGTTTTATAGTAGGATTAAAAGCGACTACAAACTGCTCCACGCTACCTACGTACTTAGATAATATTTTTGTGAACATAATATAGTTTTTATTTTACTTTCTTGTATTCAAAAAGGAACCCAATTCCCAAAGCATGAGCGAAAATTTTAAATGATTAAATAATGAAACTATAACAATAGAAGTAATCGAATAAAGTTTATTTATAAATCTACATTAACTTATATACAATAACAAAAACTACAGTTAAACAATAACAATATAATAAATCACAGACTAGTGATTTAAATAAGTAAGAGTGAACACTTTATTTTAGATTTTAAAAGTTAGCTGCATAATAATTGCAAACTGACTTAATGAAGTCCAATTTAGTAATGTTTTAATTAACGTAATATTCATTTAGCCTATTTTCAATAAAATCAACTTTTCTTTTTGCCGTTTTATCAAGTTTTTTTTTCGAATCTATGTGCAGTTCTAATTTTCACATATACTTCTGCTTGAAAATTTAACAAAATGTGTGTAAATTTAAATATGTCAGGATGTGATCTATAAAAACATTCGTTAAATTTCGAGTGAAATGATTCACATGCGTTTGTAGTAAATATAAGAGATGATGAATTTGAAGCCCATATGTAAGGTGGAAATGTTGAATCTTCCGTTAAATAATTATCAACCAGGTAATCACAAAATTGCAAAACAAATCACAAAATTAAAAAGTTCATCAGAAAAAAAGTCACCAACATCATTTGGATGTAAATAAGGAATGCCGAAAAACAATTTTAAATATTTTCCAATAACAGTTTGATTTTTATATTCCGAGGACAAACCTAAATTTTGAATTTTTCGGTACCAATTTTGTGTTAAATGAAATTTGCAACAAAAAATAATAATGTCGGGCCACACTAACTTGGCTGCATTTTGAATTGCTATTCAAAATCAGAAATTATTCGCTTCGGTTTGAAATTTAAATTCAAATCTGTACATATTGTTATTAATGTATCAAAAGTACTTTTGTACGATTGCTGTGATTTATTTGGTAACAAACAAAATACTAGAGGAACATAAAAACCATTTTTGTAGCCATGTATAGTAAACATCTGACAAAAATATTTAGAACAGTATTGAAAAGTTCCAAAGTAAAGATTACACAAAAAGTAAAGATTTGTGAAACAACTAAAAATTGCGGAATTATTTTTCGTAGATAATAAAAAGTTTTCACCTGTATTTGTTTTTAAATTTAAGTTCACTAAAACTTCCTCCTGTGGCTTGGACAATGATGGTGTGGATTTTCGTCTTGTAGCATAGATATTTCTTCGAACGCAAGAAATGTCTTTCGTCGTCAGCGGTAAATTGCTGAATTGTTCCTGTCTCAATTCCTTGTGGACAATCTTAAAAGGTTTTTCACATATATCTTCTACAGCTTTTCTCTTTGTAGAATTACTAAAAATTTGCCGGTCTACGTGGATATCTGGAGCATGATTATACTCCGATGCTTTTTCAAGAATAACATAATTTTCATCACCTTCCTTTGTGTATACTTTTTGTTGACAGCCTTTTTTGATGCATCGCCATCTAACTTTTCCATCTTTGGAGACATGGGCTTTTGAATATTTATATTCATTAATTATTAATAACAGTTCTCCCCTTTGACTAAAAATAGTCGTTGGATTCGCCATTTAAATGTTAAACACAAAACTATACCGTAATACTTGCAACTGAAGTGAATAACTGAAAATATTTATATTCTTACTTTCAACTATGATCAAATTTGGAATTTCCGGTCATTAAGACTTAATCCCCAACTTTCTCGGCGATTAGGCAGTAGGTACTTCGGATTAAAGGCCCCAGGTAGTTCGTGGGGCAGTTCGTAGTCGCCCTATTTTTTAGGCATTTAATTTTAAATAATTCCATGTAAATTGTACCGTAAGTGTTTATAATCTTAGAAAAGCTATTTATTATTATAAATCATTTCATCATTTTAAATCATTTTGTGTACATACATGTAAGTTTTTTTAAACTTTTTTTTACATAGGTTAGTAGTATACGCCTTAAAGAAGAAAAGAAGCCTCAGATTATTGAGAGAACTCCATTGAGTCAAATTAGCTGGACCAACCTTAGACATTATCTCATTTTTCAAAAAATCTTATAAACAAATTAAATTTCGCAAAAACTATTCAATCGATCGAACAAAAAAAGTTATTATTAATATTAAAAAACATCGATTTTGTTGTTCATTTTGATAACATACATAACTTTTTTGTTTATCATCCGATTTCAATTTAGCATATCTCATTTTATGTATCTTTTTTTTTTCTGAAAAAATTGTTTGTTGACGTCAAATCTGTAAATAGATAGGTTTTTAAGCAATGAGCAAAATATTGAGTTTGGCGTATAGATTGTTTATTTAAAAATATTTCCACTAAAAAATTGATAAATCCCTAAATGAAAGTCTTTTTGTCATATCTCATACTACATATTTCAACTGTCAAACCTGTTTTATACAGTTGTGTCGAGTAAAAAACTAACTTAATTAGCCTATATCGTCTTCTTCTTCAACGGGTCTTAATCCTATCTTGCCAGATAGTCATCGGCAGATTCGTTTTTAATTTTGTTAGTTATCGTTTCCATTTAAATACATTCCTAAGTCTTAACCTGTCTTATGTACAGCACAGCACAGTATTTTAGGACCATTTACAAAGTTCTTAAGAATACTCACCAACAAAAGCGCCGCAAACTCCCGCAGCCATTCCCATCAGCAATTTACCAAGGAAACCAGGTGGTGTGCCGTCGGCAGATTTGAAGGTGTCGAAGAGGTAGGTATACACTCCCAACCTTGTGCCTGTGTATGTTAATTGTCTTAAAAGTCCAGCAGATAAACCATTGTATAGAGCGAAAACGCCTTCTCTTTGAACTATCACTTGTATTGCATGTAATGTACTTCTGTATTCTTTGGGTTTTCCACCAACTCCGCTCAACTGCATTCGGTTCTTTACCAGATCCAGCGGTTGGACGAAGCAAGTCGCTCCCATTCTGAAACAAAATATTAAAATGTTTCATTATAAATAATTTTTAAAAGAAGAATACCAAAACAGGCAAAAATCTAAGTCGACCAGAAAAAAATTATCGGTGGTGGAACCATTCAAGAAGTGGTATAAAAGCTGAACTCAGCATCGCAAGAGCTAAAATGAGAGAATATACTGTTAAAAGAAGTAGAATTTGGGACGACACGAATCCAAACTTTTTTTCATACTAATTTGAAAACTTGACGCCATTCAAATGACGATACCTAAGAGATATAGTGTTATTTTTGAGTAGAAGCGACAGTTGTTTTTCCGTTGTAATTGCCTTCTTTAGTTTGTGTAAAATAAAACATTATTTTTTTAAATCAAAATCAGCTCGCATGATCTTTTAGAAAAAAAGATGTTTCAATAACATTTTACTAGCTTTCATTCAGCTTCACATACAGCCGTCACCCTCAGCTCTCATATTTCAACGATGTAAGATACTCAGGATGGAACCTATAAATAAATTTACATGTAGCTGATAAACGATGGAACTGACGTCACATTACTAGCTACAGTGTCCGACGTGAAGTTGACAGATGATTAACTTTTTCTATTTACTAACTAACTATTTCCTATCTTCCCAATTCAAAAAAGGTCTCGAATTAATTATTTATAAGACCAGTTGATAATTCTGAATTAATCCAAACAATCAGTAGTATCAAAACCTAATCTTCCTATAGTACTAATGAACTATCCATAAAAATTTTCTTAAATCTTCCAAAAAATGTCTTGGTCTCACTAATTAATGATTCCTTTGAAAAAGTGATTTTTCCAGAGTGCCTAAAGACAGCCATTATTATTTCTCTTCATAAAAGTGGTGAAAAATCGAATATCTGCAATTATAGACCTATTGCCTTTATTATATTGTTATTATTTTTCTGATTTTTGATAAAGCATATTTCTATTCTATTCTATCCCTTTTTTCAAACAAGCAGTAAAAAATCATTTTTTACTGATATGAAAAATGAAGACAGAGAAAATGCGAATCTATTGCCTTTCCTATATGTATTTATCTATGAATAACTTTAAATTTATTTATATATACCGAAAAATCTACATTAAATGATATCGACATGTCAAACGATTGCATACCAACATAGCTAACACGACTACATTCTCATGAACTTTTCGCTTTTGGCTGGTATTGATGAAAAATATTCATTTATAAACAATAATTTTGACATTTTGCCAGAGCAAGTGAATCTCAACGCATCTACTTTTTTTTTCATATACAAGTGATCCCTTTAATGCTAATTAGTTCGAATATTTTTAAACGAGATTGGTTATAACTGAGTAATAGCATTGTGCAAAAGTCAAGGATAAGTAATATCATTCACCTAATATATACTAATAAACAAAGAATTTAAAAAAATTACTAACTTAATAATAAAAGTTATCTTATTTTAAAATACTTGGTTAATTTTACACCTAATTCATGAACAACTATTAATTTTGAGGAATTTTATTTATTTATTCATCATCATCAGTAGCTCGACAACCCTTTCTGGGTCCTGGCTTGTTCTAGGATTTTCCGCCATTCTGTTCTGTTCCTTGCTTTGTTTTTCCAAACATCAAATTCCTTTGTGATTTATTTATTATTTATAATAATTGTAATACAGTAGAACCTGCTTAATGCGAACTTCTCCAATTCCAAATCTTTATTCTTACAAATCTTCTTTAAATCGAATTTTTATGCTGAACCCTAGCATTTTCTATATAAGTAATGGTAAAAAGTCGTGAATAATTCGAATTATATTTTGGATAAATCGAACTTTTCTACAAGCTAAAATGCCAATTTCATGATGAAAATTTCAGCGAAAACAGGTAAAATAGTATTTTTTTCCTGTCCTAATGCCACTTGTTTCAAGGCATTTACGGAAATTGTACATTGTACCCGTATCTGTAATTACGTTAGTATGTCACTGCGTTTTGAGCAAAGATGTCATCGCGTGGTAAACTTAAATTATCCATCTACTTAAAAAATAAAAAAACAATTCTCTAGAGTGAAAATGAGTACGGTAAAGAACGAAAAAAGTTAAGAGAGCCAGAAATTTCAAATTTGGACCGTTTGTTTTTAACATGGTTCAAATAAGCCAGGGATAAGAAGATTTCCGTGAGTGGTTCCCTTATAAGAAGCAAAGCTGAACAATTTGCAGTTGAAATGGGTAAAAATAAATTTAAGGCAAGTACAGGGTGGCTAAACGGCTTCAAGGAACGCAACAAAATTTTATTAAAATCCAATTGTAGATAAAGTGGGGTCCCTAATCAGCAAGAAGCCAACCAATGGAAAAAATTTTTTGAGGAGATGATTCAGGATATAGATAAAGAGATATCTTCAATGTTGACGAAACTGATCTTTTTTTTAATGCATTCCTGACAAACCAGTGGCATTTAACTAAACAAAGAAAGAGTGACTCTCCTAATTGGTGCAAACATGGACGGATCAAAAAGGCTCTCTCTACTGATGATTGGCAAGTCAGCCAATCCGAGTTGTTTTAGGAACGTCAAGTCAAAACCAGTGGAATATGTGAACAGCTCAAGATCTGATATGACTAGTGATCTTTTCGAGAAATGACTGATGAAATTAAACAAAAAGTACATAAAAGAAGAAAAAAGAAGAGTTATTTTGTTTATTGACAACTGTACGGCACACAACACCGCAGTGCCGCAAGTACGGCAAAAACATATTGACGGAAGATTGCGACTCTTTTAAAATAAATTTAGACATTTTTCTAGCCTCTCGAATGCGTAATAATGTTCCGAGTGCGGCCGAAGCGAAGAATCATATTAGACAACTTAGAGTGTACTTTGAAAGTAAAAATGACGTAAGTCATTCCATTTTTAGTTCACTGAATATCTTAGAATCTTTTGTCATTACCGAGAAGCTAAATTCTAAAAAGTAGTTAAAAATTTGGGATTTTTTGGAAAAATTAAGTCTGTCTTTTTTCGTTAATTGTAACAAATGGTATTTTCAATAAATTTTTTAAGACAAAAGGTTTTGTTGTTTCAATGACGCGTTCTCACTGGGCGATTTTTAATCTGCCGAATTTTTGGTCGATTTCGCAATACCCGCAGGTATTGCGAATTTCAACATGGTCGCTACAGTTTCAGCGACGAATCCAGGGCAGATCCACCCAAAACAGCAGTCCCACAGCAAAACATTGATATCCGCCGAGTAACATACCGGGAGCTAGAGGCATATTTGAGCTTTTCAAGGATCTCGATCCAAAAGATCCTACATGAAGAAATGGGTGATACGAAGTTGGTTTCTCATTGGATCCCTCATTTGCTCACAGAAGAGCAAATAGCGGTTCGCGTCAATTGAACAGTTCAACAAAGGAAGCTCAAAAAACGTTTATAGTAGTGTTAGTGACAATTAATCTTGGATTTACTCTTACTGAACGGAAAATAAACGTTGTGTGGCAACAATTGCTTTAGATGAACGAAGAACGATTACTTCTGATTGATATATAACCGTTTCTTTACCAGAAGTTATCGCGAAACTCCGACAAACAACCCAATACACAACGGCGAATCATCCCACATCAGAATAATGCAAGTGCTCATACTGCCGAAAAGACAATAGAGTTTTTGGAGCTTCAAAACATCAAATTGTTAAACCATTCACCGTGTAGCCCCAACCTAAGTCCCAACAACTTCTTCGTTCCAAAAGAGATTCCAGTCGCCAGAAGAAGCAATCGATGCCTTTAAAACAGCGATTTTGCTGGTGTCAACTAAAGACTGGAATAACTGTTTTACCAATTGGTTTGAACGTATGAAAAAGTGTATCGATCTTGGTGAGACATATTTTGAAAAGCAATAAAGTACTTTAAGTCTATATAGTTTTTGTCTTTATGGCTATATATGTAAACTAAAAAGACAACCCTTGTATAATATAAACTTACTGAAAGCTATATCCGATTTATGAATAAAGATATTAATAATGAATATTTTTCATTATATATAATATATATATATATATATATATATATATATATATATATATATATATATATATATATATATATATATAAATAAAATATAATAATAATGAATACATTCATTACATCGACCAATTCAGCTAAATGTTTTTAACCATTTTGTGTGTTATACATCTATCATCTCGTTTGACAAACCAATGTTTACTAATAAAATTTAAAATCTTTACACCAATGAACGACCTGTGTATATAGACCAAGAACTCAGGGTCAAAAGATATCGAAATCAAAAAATAATTCATAAATGAAGTTTTATTGCTGGATATTATCTATAACTAGATAGAACAATAATAAAACGGTCAAGAATTTTCATTATTTCTCATAATATGTCGAAAGTATTCTCATTTAAGTTTTTTTTATTGTTACAAGCACTTTACGTTCTTTTTCCATAATGTGCAATATAAGAGACTAGTTTTTTAGCAGTAATTACGAAAATCAAAATTAGAATTAGAAAAAAGAAGCCATTCTAAGAGAAAAAAATAAATTTGTATAAATTCTAAATGTTTAAGAGTTTAAAATTTTTTGATAGCCGAATTGTTGAATACGAGTGGATTTATTGAAAAGTTGAATTATGTGAAAAATACATTTTTTTTATTTCTCGTATTTATTCAATTAAAAATTGGTAGTCAATTGCTCGGGATTGAGCTTCGGGGGTAGTGAGCTTTACCGAAGCCTTGATTATAAAAAAAACTTTATGAAACGCTCCCAGCTCATAAAGCGTCGAAATCCTACTTCCACGTCCACGTCGGAACTCCTGGGCAATGCATGACGTACTGTTATCGTTTCAGTTTTTTAGCGACGTGGGTTTTCGACGCTAAAAACTGAAACTTTTCGGCTGAGGAAATAAACCCTGGCAGAAACATCATGATCCTCCAGATTGGGGGAGAAAACTGGTAAACGGCAGACGACACAAAATCGGAAGGTGGATGAACCAAACAGGGAACTAATCTTAAGAGTTGTGCCAGGC